GAACACAATATCTTTATTTATTTATTTTTATGTGGTGCTGAGGATCGAACCCAGGGCCTCACAAGAGCTAGGTGAGCACTCTACCACTGAACCACAATCTCAGCCCTTCCTCCTTATTTTTTAGGGAAATAGGAAAACATTTATGAGAGAGGGACACAAAAAACATATGAAGATCTTACTAATAATTTGAGAGAAAATTCATAGAAAGCAGTTTTTATATTTAAGATTTTGACTATTATCTCATTAATCATAAATCTACACCCACAGCATGCAGTGTAGATGGGCTTTTTTTTTTTTTTAACCTGTCACCCTAATTTCAGAGGTTTTTTTTTTTTTTTTCTCTATATGCTACCTAAATTCCAAGCCCAACAACCAAGTGTTTCACTTGAAATCATACTTGAGTCTAAAAAAATAAAATCTTCCTCTGCTATGAAAATAATGCTTTAGATATGTTTGCCTTGTGTGTGCGCGTGCTGTGGGTAGACCTTGCGCATGCTAAGCATGCACTCTCCACTGAGTTGCCCCCAGCCTGTGCTTGCTATTTTTATGGCAACCTGTTTTACTCAAGGTCCAAGAAGGAAAACGGGTTAAGAATTTCAAGTAGAGGGAAGTTAATACAGGGAATTGATTACACAGATGATAGAAACTGAATAAGCAATAAACGTGATTATGAGATAACTCACAAACTAATAACCTCAGGAAAAAAACTTCTCCAGAAGGAATACATCACACTACAAAAACTGCATACAAGGGGGAGCCATATGGGCCCTGTGCTCAGAGATTTGAAGAGGATGTCATGGATGGAGATTTCTAAACACACTGGATACCTGTTGTTTTCTCCAATGACACAACAGACCTGACTTGGAAAAGACAAATCTAGCAGAGCCACTTCTGAATAGCGTAAACCTAAAATAGTACATTAAATATTTCACAGCAAAGGACATAGACAAATAAGAAATAATTCAGTTGAAAGCTGCAAATTAAAAGTGAGTGCTTATCGTGACTTTTACTCAGCATCAGGAGACTGAGGTTAGCACAGGGCCTACTCAAATTTGTTAATGGATAATTCAGTTTACTTTTGGGGCAATGTGCCAATACAAACAGCAGGATAGTCCTGCCAATAAAGATGAGCATCTAACAAACCACACTGCCCATTTTATAAACTTTATATCCAGGCATGTTCCCTTTGATTTTTTTGGGGGGGTTGTTCAGATTCTAGTGTAGTAGGCACCTCTGCATCGGCAGCAGCAATACCTAGATCGCAATTAATCAAATTCAGTTCACTCAGAATGCTGAGAAAAAGTAATTGAAAAAAGAATATAATCTTATTTCCTCTTGTCAATGCCAAACAGAAATGCAGAGAAGAATCTCCAGTAAATTAACTTTTATTTGAGAATGAAGAGTAGGATTACAGTCCAGTAGACATGCATAGGCTGGAGAGGCCTCTGGTAGATCCAGAGTTAAAAGTAAAAGTTGGGGATTTCCTTAGGACAGAAAAATCCAGTTATGAAGAAAGCACATTGGGACTTTCAGTGCTTGGCTGATCTGGTGAGCTCTGATTGGGGGACAGTAGCATTTACCATGTAAATTTAGTCTTAAGTTCATAGGTGGAAGTTCTGTGGACAGTTGCTAAGAAAAAACATATAGAGTCTTAAAGATAAGGCAGGCTGTTTTTCTGGATGATCCTGGCAGAGCAGTTCCTGAAATAATCTTCTGTGACCTGAGCACTTTTGTCCCCCCATGGCATTCTCAGCACTATTTTAAGATGGGTATGACAAGAATGTTTTTACTTGTGTGCTCAATTGCCACACCCTTACAGTAAATAAAATTTTAGATTGGGTTTAATATGATACAGTCATGCATGGCTTAACAATGGAAATGATTCTAAGAAATGAGTCTAGGTGATTTTATCAGATTGACTAAGATAACTACAGTGTCTCCAGGTTATATCATCTTTTGGGGCCACATTGACTGGAACATTGTTATTTGCACACGACTTCTTTAGAGAAAAAGGTCCAATGTTTACACTGAAAAGGAATAAAAGCTGTTTTTTACCTTGATTTAAAGGTACTTGATCAAGCACCACTAGGTGCCCCCTTCAAAGACAGAGAAGCTCCCATTTGGATGTTTTCCGTTATCACTTAAGAATCTTCTCTGGAAGCTCCGAGTGTCCTTGTCATAGCTTTCACACACAGCACCATCCTGACTTTCTGAATTGAAATCAAATGTTGGTCATTTGCTGACATAGTGCTAATCCAACTTTCTATGGCAAAGATGTAATGGACCCGAACCGATCAGACAATTCCAGTACATCTGCCTTACGTTTGGCCAACACTATTTAAAGCTTACTGTAATGCTCAACAGAGGCCTGTGTGAGTGAAGCACTTGTAATTACAACTAAACCATTCCCATAATAATAAATACTGAATTTACTGTCTTCATTGAGGTTATCATGATTTTCTATTTTAATCTGAAGCATGATAAGTTATACAATTTTTAGATACTGAAACATCCTTGCATCCCTGGGAAGTACCTGCCTTGTTGCATGACACATTATTTCTTATAGACTATTACACTCAATGCACCAACATTTTATCAGCAATTTTTCCATATATGTTCATAAATGAGATTGGTCTATAAATTAATTTTTCATACTGTCCTTGTTCCATTTTAGATTTATGGCTAATTTTAGGAAATGGGTTAGGTGGCTTCCTCGCCTTTCTATTCCCTAAGAACTTCTACATGACAGAAATTATCTGTTCACTGATATTTTTCCAGAATTCGCCCTTTAAAACTTCTTTTGATGAGGTGGAATTGCAATTACTAATTCCATTTTCTTACTGGCTTTTGATTGTTTTAGACTGCCAAGATCTTAGCTGAACTTTGGTAACACTAGTTTTTCTAGAAATGGATCCATTTCTTTTTCTTATACTTCCAAAAACTTTGTTATCCAGTTTATAGTATTCTCACAATTATTTAAAATCTGTATTTATAATTGTGTCTCTTTAAAAAAAATCTAAATACTGTTCACTTGGGTCTTTTTCTTTCCTTGTTAGGACTTTGTATGAAATATCCTTCTGATGCAGCTCATAAAGCTCAAGGGGCATCACCAGCTCCTTGCTGCCTCAGCTGTGGCTTCTCCTGGCCCGTCATGGGGACTGTTTGCTTACTCATTTATTTGTACTTTAAAATATACCTACAGCTTTAGCAGTGCTATTTTGCTACACCTCCAAGTTCTCTTTAGTCTGTATTTTATCCTTTTACTACATTTCCTTATGTTGGTTATTATCCATGCTGATTCACTTTTGCTTAAAATATCATTTTGAGAATGGACACAATGTTAAATTATCATTATGCATTTGCCAGATTTACAACTATAAGTGCCTACTGTACAGTGGGCATTAGACATACAGATAGTAAAAAGATAAAAAGAAATGATTCATATTAAATCAGATGTTTTCATACTGTAAATATAAAAATGATTATTCTCCTCTCCTACTGTATTTCACAATTACAGACGAACCATAGAGTATGATTACAGAAGAATCATTTTTGAAGTAAAGTTTTGGACACATAATTTCATACAAATATTTTCATACAGTACTGTAATTGGTCACTTTTTTTTTTTTTTTTTTTGCACCGGAATTGAACCCAGCTGCACTCAACCACTGAGCCATATCCCCATCCTTTTTTTTTTTTTTTTTTTTGTATTTTTTATTTAGAGACAGAGTCTCACTGAGTTGTTTAGGGCCTCCCTAAGTTGCTGAGGCTGGCTTTGAGCTTACAATCCTCCCGCCTCAGCCTCCCAAGCCACTGGGATTACAGGCATGCATCACCACTCCTGGCTTGGTAATTGGATTTTTAGACAGTACTGTAATGGCAATCCCATGATGAGAAATCTAAGTACAAGAGACCTGAGTTAAACTCTACAAATGTCCTGGACTCATAAGCTGTTTCCTAAAAGGACTTTTCAGTAGTTTTAATTGATTGTAATTAGCAACATTTCCATCACAACTACAACATTTCTGACAATATTCTCTGTGACAACTACAGGCAGTGTGCTTCTGGACTCTCAGAAAATAATTCCTGAAGGAAGACAACTCTCACATGGGAATTTACCTTACTGGAGCAAAACCAGTATATTTTTGCTCAAGAATGTTTGACTTAAAAAAGTAAAAACTAGCCGTTGCTATTCCCTAACAGCCTTTTCAAGTTAACAAAAAGGGTAAAGTTTTGCATCCAAAACTGACAATTTTGCCTTCTGGTCTTAAAAACCTATAGTTAATAACTGCTGAAGAAATGTGAAGATTCTAGAAGAAAGTAGGTAGTATATTTAATTCTTCTTTTCAAACATGTAAATTGGATAAATGGCACAATAGTTTCAGAATGCCAGAACTAGGGCAGGGATGTAGCTCAGTGTAGAGTGCTTTGCATAGCATGCATAAGGCCTGGGGTTCAATCTTAAGCACCAGGAAAAAAATAAAAAGGAATGCCAGAACTAAGCAAACTAGTGGTGTGTTCCTACATGCAAAAAAAATCCTTCACATGTCATTAATCATATTATTTTTCAAGTGTATGGGATCTGACTGTAAGAAAATTAATTCCTGAAGCCTGAAGTTAATCATACACGATGAAAAGTTCCTCCAGCAAAAGCAGTGCTTGCCAACCACTTAACTCAACCCTGATTATCCATCTTTTGAAGCTTCACATTATGTACAATTAAAGGTATAAACTGAAATTGGTTGACTGACTTGGTTTCCTCTGATTAGCCATTCACAAAACCACAGTGAGACCATAAAACTAACTGTTTCCCCTCTGGAGTTCCATTATGGAACTTACTGGTTTCAACATTGAAGAGAATTTGTGGTTCCTATATTCTATCAATGAAGAATAGGATGTGTCTTTGACTAGGAAGTTTAGTTCTGATATTCAACTCGTATAAGTACAAGGTAGTGCTGGTTAAATTAAGACCTTTCCTATAATTACTTACACTGTGAAAGTTATTCAAATTTCAAATTTATTTGTAGCTTTCAAAATCACACAACAGATCTCCATTTAAGCAATAAGTCAGTCACCTGTGGTAAGTTTGGATAATGAAAAATCTAAAAAAACTCAAACCAGACACACTTCTCTTACTTTCTCCATGACAATATACACATTGGAAATCTAAATTCCAATAGTTCTCCTATTGAAAATAGTGAGATTTAGTACAAGCCACTTCACTATGATTTTTTTAAATGTTTACAGAATATTGAGCCTCCATGGAAGAGAACCCTATTTAAAAGACATGATTATATTTTTAAAAATCTAAATTAACTCAGTTTATTTCCAAAATAAGAGTTGATCCATGTTTTCAGTTTATCACCACACAGAAAACATTGTGTAAAATAATATGGTAGACTTTCACTTAAATATTTTTATGTAAAAACCTCACAGTGCAGGAAGAGATCACTATTAGGTATGAAGACATCAAAAGCCTGCCAGGATATTAAGTAGAGGGCAGAATAGTTTTGTTACCTCATCCTAAAAACTGTTGGCACATTCATTAACTGCCCAGGTTATAAAAATTACTTTGTATCTACTTCCTGACCTTCAATATATTTTTATATCCACGCTGCATAACATTAATGCTGGTAGACAAAATAGCTCATTTTAAGAATCTAAAAACCTTTCAGGTAGCTCAATGATTTAAAACCAACTAGGAAAAAACTCTCCCAAAATATTTTTTGTATGCCATTTTCTGTCTATTACCACAATAACAGTAAAAAAGCTGTGTACCTTTAAAAGAAGCAAAAGGAAAGTAACTTCACTTTCCTTTGAAAACACAATTTCTTAGCTCTTAAATAGAGAAAAACTAATTTTTGTGGGGAAGGGAAAAATAGTTCCGAAGTAAAAACATCAAGTTTATGTTAGTTGTACAAATGTCTCATTTAGGAAAGAAAGTGAATATTTTAATTCAAAGGATTCTAAAATATTCATTACAAGAAAAAATTAATTTAAAGCTAAAAAACTGTAATACGTTGAATTAACACAAGTCATGCATTAACACATCCTATTGCTTCTTATAAAACCCTTGATTAAGGAACAGTAGATTAGGTAAGGTATCTATTTTTCCAATATTTGGTCAGATTAGCTAAATCCTGCCAAAGACAAGTCCTCTGGGTCTCAGGACCCTCATCTCTTAAATGAGGGCACTGGACTAACTGCCCTTTAACACCCCTCCCAATCCACAAATTTATGTAATTAGTTTCTGACAGGTTCAAGAAAGTCTATTTTGTGCTGTGTGACTTGGCTTTTTAAAAAACATCATTCATATTTATAGGACATAATGTGATAATTTGACACATGTATAAGACATGTAGAATTGTCAATCTCACATAATCCTTTTAAGAATGAGGTGTTTCAACTCAATATACTCTGCAGATAATAAACATTCTCCATTTAAGTAATGAAGCTATGCTTAAATATTTAAATTTTTACTTCAAAATTTATGTTCAATGTATTTGCTTGTTCCCTTAAAAGAAGGTGAGATACAAACTTCAAAGACTCCTGGACCCGCCAATGGGGCGATCCATGGGGACAACTTGGGCTCTGGTTCTAATTCTGTGTGATTCTGAGTCATTGTGAGTGAAAACCAGGATGATAACACCTGCACTACAGCTCTTCGTTTTAAAGACCAATAAAGTTATAATGAAGCATTTGTAAATTACAAATTACCACACAAATGCAATGGATTGCTGTATTTTTTTTGTTTTAAAAGAAGCCCAAACTATTTTCCTCAAAATCTGGATTTTAGAAAATATACATATTTTTTGTAATCACTTAAACAAACTAAAAACAAGGTAACCCACTGGTTACCTGACTATTCTCCTACAGTCCTTCTCTTCTGTGTCTCATCATACTCCTAACTACACCAGACCTGAGATTCAATGTCTCTCCTAAAGTCTAGAAATCTGACCTTCAAATAAGTGGAAACCCAAATCTAAAGATCTGTTACTTTAGCAAATCTAGCATCACCACTACTCACCCTGAAAGAGTGGTTCTAAACAGGCCAGGCATCAGACTCATCTGGAAGTGTGTGATCTCTGGGCTCCAGCCCTAGAGGTTCTGATTCATTATGTGTGGAGTAGGACCCAGAAAAACTCTACTGTTTTCAAAAAGCTCCCCCAGGTAATCTCAACAACTAATTAGTTAAGTTTTGGGGACTCACTGCTTTACTCTCAATTTATTTTCTATAATTTTAGTACCTGCTAGTTTTGTTTTTAATATAAAAATTTTCCTTACATTAATCCTAAGCATACTCAGGACATACTACCCCTGATCTTGGCTTAGATTCACAGGGAACCAGTCATTATAATCCATTATAATAAAACAATCAATTAACTTCCGAGCTAAGACAATGGATGCAGATGCTATGGTGGCTGTGACTACATTGACAACTATGTTCTGCTTTACCTATAGTTGGGCACTGAAAAACTTGAAGACCATCTTATTGTGACTACTCAATAAAGAATGGCAGAACTCCTCCAAATAACAGAAAGATGACTAACCAGCTAATGAATATTATTCAAAAAATGTTTCTAGTAGACATAAATGTAAAGTATTTCTTTAAAAAACTACACAGCTTCCTGTGAGAAATCAAGACTTCCACACTTATGAAGTCCACAATAAGAAGAAAGTTGACCATAACTACAGCTGTTTAAAAATACGTTCAGTTAACTGTGAAAATATATGTGTAAAATAGGTATAATTTTATCCTTAGGAGATTTAATAGGCACAAATGGAATTCAGTTTCCATTTATTCTACCCAATGAGTTAATTGTGAAAATGACACATGAAGTATTTGGTATAATGTAGTTGTGAACACCATCCCTTCCGAATGTAACACAAAAACTACACTGGACTTTCCCAGCGTCTCAAGCGCCCTTAGGCACTGCGGAACGTGGTCATGTCCTTTGGCTCTCTGCTGGGCACACACCAGTCATCAGCTTCATGGTTGGTGTTGTAATGCTTCCAGGCAGCTTTGTTATACACGGGGAGTCTCTCAATCGATTCTGTTGACAAAGCCTGAAAAAAAAAGCAGAAACTCTAAGTCTGGCATTTTTGAGAACTCATTAGTTGAGAAAACATAGAACAGCAAAAAACTTACTACAAATTCAATAGAACTCAACTGTTAATCATAATACCACCACATATTTTGCTTTATGTATGTATACATTTTAAAGTGTACATATTGGAAACAGGTTGTTTACTAAAAAAGTGGCACCAATCAATGTGCATATTGATTGAGACTGTTGTTTCCCAGGTCGCCTGGAAGCTGCTGGATTCAAATTTTACACAAGTAGATGCTTCTTACAAAACACAAGCCAGACCAGAAGTTGGCTACTTGAAAAAGTCAGTTAACTGCAAAACCAAAAAAAAACTTGATACACATACCTTAATATGCACTTTAATATATGTACATAGATTTAATGAGATCTATTTTAGTTAATACTGAAGAAATATTTTTTCAGTACAGTCACTGTACAATAAAAAATTTATCATAACATTATCAATAAATATAAAATTATGTCTAAGGCATTTTGGCTTCTGCATGAACAATTCTTCGTCCTGGGTTTGGTCTTGTGTTTTCTTCTGCCATTAAAGCCACCAATTTCAATCACACCACATGTGATTTCTGCATCATGCTTAATTTAAAGTTTCGCTATATCATTACCATCAATTCACTGTTCTACTTCAGCTTCCTGTAAACCACTGGAACCTGAGATAAATGGCATTCTTTCTATTTTCTTCAAGTTAGGATTTTTTTTTAAATTTCAAATTCAGGGTGCCAGCATCCCTTAAGATGTAGAAAATAATGAACTAGAAATTTCACCCTGAGAGTGCAAACTAAGGTTTTTGATATTGATGATTTTAATGATTTAGTAAGATTTACTATCTTCTATTTTTTTCCCCAAAATGGAACTAAAAACCTTTTACCTATGTTTATTTTTCTCACATAACTTCTTCTGCATTTCCTATAAAATAGGTGCCATCTAGTGGCCATAAAAGCAACTAGAAACACCAAATAATTAGGCACCAACAGCCTGCCACTTAACCAGTGCTTTTTTTGTTTTGTACTGGGGATTGAACCCAGGAGCACTTTACTACTAAGCTTTATTTCCAGTTATTTTTATTTTTATTTTGAGACAAGGTCTAAATTGCTTAGGGCCTCACTAAATTGCTGAGGCTGGTCTTGAACTTGCAATCCTCTTGCCTCCCACTTCCCAAGATACTGGGATTATAGGCATGAGCCACCATGTTCAGTGCTATTTAACTAGTGATGCGTCTCTGTGCTTCTGCATACCAGTAAAATCTACTGAAACTTCTATAAGCACATCTAACACCCAAGGCCAGTAAGCCAAGCACTACTGTTCTGCCAGATAAGCAATATATGCTCAACCAAGAGTCGCCAATGCTTATTCCAAATCTGTTTATGCAATTACATCTGTCATTGTAAAATTTAATCAAATATTACATTAACAACATGCAAAAAACAGGGGAGGATGTCTTTAAAAACTAAGATACAAGCTTTGAAAAGATTTGCGAAGGAAAGGCACATAAAAATTTTGCTCAACTTGGAGTCAGATGCTATCTTTAAAGGACTGCATAGAAATCCAAAAAGATTATGCCATTGGTTGTTTCTTTGTTTAAAGAAACCAAAACGATGAACTGAAAGTATAGCCTGTTCAAGAAAGACAATGTGACACTCCAATCTGCAGACTCTGTGCAAAGAAAAGGCCCTGGAAGTGTGTCAAAAGATGGGTGGATCAATATGTTGAATCAGTGCTGTGTGATATATAACTTCAGTTTTCCCTCCTTTAACCCAGTTTTTTCCTGTTAACAAGCACAGTCCTGATCGTGACAAATAAGAATGCTTGTGTCCCCAGAGACCAGGGGATCAACTGTCAAATGGATGACATCCCATGTAAATGTTTTTTTGTACTTTAACAGCATGAGGTAAAATAAAATTTCATTACATTTAAATGTTGGCACCTTTTTTAAACTCCAAAGAAAGATTAAATCAAGAAGATTATAGTTATTACCTTAATGTAAATAACTGCATCTGTCCCATATCCCTCTAAGGAATACAGCTTTAAGTCTCCTTGAAAGTACTGTGCATAAAGACGTGATATGGGCAATCCATAACCAAAACCAGCCTGTTTGATGAGAAAAACAAAATTCTATTCAGAAAGCCACATACTGAAATACTTTTCTAATTAAGATAAACACCATTGAGTACCCCAGGGCTAGCAGAACGTGTACCTGACAGATTGGTTAGTATGTAGGTATTAATTAATTGATTAAGCTGAAGCTTAGCTGAGTACTATATTAGCTGATCCCATCTGGTTATTTAAAACTTGTTGTTCTTTTTATAAAATGACTTATGGAGGTCTGGAAAATCATATTTGCTTTTCTTTGCTAGGCTCCTCTAGGGTACTCAAAAACTGCTTTTGGCAAGACTACGTAAAACTCATTATCTTTTGAAAAGCAGAAGAAAAGCCTTACTAGACATATCTCATGATTCCACACCATGAATTTCCAGCCTGTGTTCTAAACCTGGAGATCACCTGTAATAGGTCTACTTTCTTAAATCTCACTGACAGGTCACTTCCTTACTTAAAAACTTCACCCCCACTCCTACCATCCCCACTCACTGCCTTAGAGATAAAAAGGCAAAACAAGGGCTTTCAAGGCCCTTAAGGAGATGCGCTTCCCACTTTCCCATCCAGCAGAACCAATCTCCTTATGTTACTTCAATGTTTACTTCTGTGTCTGTTCATCCTATTCCCAGTATCTGTACTGGCCTCCAATAAATCCTACTAATAACTCTTGTCATATAACATAAAATCCTTGGATGTAGGCAAAACAGTTTTTGTTACTCAATATCATGTTCAGTGACATTCCATAGGGTGTGTTAATTAAAAGTTTATGTGAACTCAGGAATCAGACTGCTGTTAACAAATTCAGGCTCTGGCTTCTACATTCTAGCAACTATTAGTTGACTTTTCTAACCAGAACTGTTAGAAATTTGCACACTTATCTCTGCTCTGGGAGGCTGACCTAAAGAGATTATGTTAATGGAGGCCTGTGCCCTTTGCTTCCAGAGAGTCCTGTCACTGGGAAACCCAGCAGGGGGGTCTGAGGGAGAAAAGGAAGGGTATTCCTTTCCCTGGTTCCTTCCCTGTGAGGGGCCTTGGGTAGGATGCTTCTCCTCCAGAGTCAAGAGAGGCTCTGCAACTCTCCCCACTTCTGGGTTCTGCTAACTGCATTCTTTGAGTTCTTTTGATCCACAGTGGTGACAGTTTTATAATAAAGAAGGCCTATTTACAAAGAGACTAATCATATAAGCATGAGTTAGGACGTATAGGAACCCGTTTCCTTGTAAATAATCCTTCTGTGAATTATCATGAGTGAGCTACATGTCTCTGCTATTGGGATCCTGGCTGATATGATAATTGGTTCCAGAAGTGGCCCCAAGAAAACACACCAGAAGGTAGCTTAGGCTCCTAGGGTACCTGACCCACTTTATCACTGCTTCTCCATTGATTACACCTGAGGATTCTTGGGGTGTCTCTCATGAACAGTTAAGAGAAGAAAACCAGCATGGGCCTAGCCCTGATGGATCTAAGCAGTATGCTTGTACTAGTCCATAGTGGGCTGCCCTGCACTGTAACCCTTATGGAAGCAAGAGAGGGCCTGAAAGACAGAAATCGCAACAGCATGGACAGGGGCAAAAAGGCTGGCTGGCTGGCTTGTCATGGACTCAGAAAGAACAAAATTCTTAACTGATAAGCTGGCCTGGCAGACAGATCTGTGGATACAGTTCTCTGAATGGGCTTATGGTATGAAGTTGTTCTGTCCATGCAAATGCCCACTAGCAGGCATTCCTGTGGAGGTAGCTCTCCATAATCAGGTGAACAAGAACGTTACCCATGTTTATACGACAACCTTTCTCCAGCTAGCACCCCCCACCCCTACCCCATGCCTTTCTCCAGCTAGCACCCCCCACCCCTACCCCATGCTTGCTGATTGGGTCCATGACAAAGTATGAAGGCAGCAGGAAGGAGGCTCCATAAGAGTCTAATAAACAGTCTTGCCCCGTCCAAGGCTGCAGAGACACAGAGGGACGCCTGCCCTTTGTCAAGCCTCCCATTTCCCAAAAAATCCACATAAATCATGAACCAATACTTGCATGTTATTTATTATGTGCCAGGCACTATAGAAAGCATTTTTTACATATATTAATTCACTTAATCCTCACAATTAACTCCATTTTCAAGCTGGGAAAACTGGGCATTATAAGTTGAATAAATGGTTCCCAAAAGGTCACACTTCTGGGCTGTGGTTAGGATGTACCGGAACCCAGTTTCCTTGTAAATAATCCTTCTGTGAATTATCAAAATGAGTGAGCTACATGTCTCTGCTGTTGGGATCCTGGCTGATACGATAATTGGTTCCAGAAGTGGCCCCAAGAAGTCAGGAACCAGAGTCTGGACCTATTCACTATGCCACGTTCCACAGAAATTCTACAATATCTGCCTACTTCCTTCTTCAAGTTAGAATTCTAGGACATCTGTTTATCGTCTACATTTGACACTTGATATATGGGAACAACATCTCAGGTGGAGAAGCACATTCCTTAAGGATCATTTCAATTTGGCAAGATGCAAACTATTTTACTATATAGTCACAGAATATCTGCTGTGTAACAAGTAAAACTATTAGAATTAAGTCCTTCTGGTAATTTCCTAGGAAAGGTCTAAAATAGGTCCTTCTTATACATTACAGCCTGATGCTAATATATATGCCAGAGAAGTGTCAAAGCCTGGGATAAGAGAATTCTTCTAGAATTACAGAATATTTGGCAAAGTGCTGTTTTGGGGGCCTAAGATCAACAAAAACAGCATTAAAATAATTATACTTTAGGCCTATCACACTGGTGATTAAACAGATCAGAATTTCAGTCTTATTTCTAAGTCTAGAATATGAGCTCTTTCTAATTATAGATATTTGAGGAAAAAATATCAACATTACAGATTAAATCTGTGTTGATCAAATACTACTAAAACCAGTAATTTATTTTTCACATTAGAAATAATATATGGTTTATCATATAGAAATCTGCTATTATATTACTATCAAGCCTGGCAACAAGAACTTCAAAATAATAATCTGTCCTTCATCAATTTCAATTTAAAAAAAAATAAATCAGTATTCCAGAAGCCTGTCTGTTCAAATTTAGAGAAAGGTGTTTGTTTTAAGAGCTCCCCTTCTTCCCTGTGGAGCACCCTATACCATTTGTTTAACTGGTTTATCCAGCAGTCAGAGGCTGCCAGAGGCAATTCACAAAACCACATTTCATTCATTTCTGGGTCACATACCAGGGGCGCTGCGCGGGAAGTCTCCACACGAGGCCGGGGTGCAGTTGAATACATGTAGTTGAAGAGTCTGTCAATTTTCCTCAAAGGAACACCACCTCCTCGGTCACTCATCTAAGATAAGAAAGGATCATGCTCTATGACCAAGTCTCATCAACAGCAAAATAACAACACAGACACAGTGTCACAGTTTAACTGCTGGTAGAAGACTACTGCTTTTGAAAATGAATACCACACAGTCCAAGCTGCAAATAGCATTTCCCTCATGGTGAAGCTAACATAACAACTTCTCTACTATGTGAAATTCTAATATATAATTCATCACTGTGGCTGTACATATTTCCTGAAGTCTCACTATCAGAATTGGGCACAAGCTAAACCCATCCTGAATTAACAATCAAGTTGTTATTCCTTTCTGGTAGGCAGTAGAATAACTAGGATCAAATTAGAAATGCAAGTACACTTTAATCCAACAATGACACTTCCAGAAATTCATCCTAAGAAAATAAACAGAAAAGTATGAGAACATCCATCACAGCTTCAAGTAGCTAAGACTGGACAGCAACCTAAATAGAGGATTAGTTAAGTAAAGAACATTCTAAAATAGCCATCTAAATGTTCCATATAACTAGTTGTACTGGCATGAGAGAAGTCTACAGAATATTGTTAGGCAGCAACGAGCAAGATAGGAAATAGTAATAATAAATCTAAATTTTATAAAACTTATTTCATAACAAAGGCCTAAAATGATATATAATCTTTGCTTTGGAGAAGTTGATTTTCTTCTTTTTTGTTTTTAATTCTGAATTTTTTTCATGATTACTTTTATTATATTTTTTTAAAAGTACAATTTTCATTTTATAGGGAAAAAAACAAAAGTACCTCATTGTGGTCACATCTAAAAGCAGTTTTATAAAACAGGACACTGGATAATTTTCTGGTGAGTTGTAAGGTACATAGGTCTTTATATTATTCATATGTCATTTTCAACTCAAACAATCACATCATAGACTGAACTGAGTAAGTTATTTACACATTATTTTTACTGTTTTCCTTTACAGTTAATATGGACTCATTTTCTTAGCTGTAGTACAGATTATATTTTAATCTACTATGGCTACTTTCCTTTGTCACGAAATTAGAATTGATTCTATTACCTACCATGTTAATGTGCAAACAAATAAGCTTTTAACATATGTATACAGTTAATATATTTATAAAGTTTAGCTGACTGAGTTCTAGTTCAGTTTTTAATTATTTAAAATCTTTACAGTATGTGAATACTATTTTAAAATAGAAATTATATAGCTATTTTAATTTAATTTAATTCTATTTTATTTTGTGATGCTAGGAATCAAACCCAGGGCCTTAAACAAGCTAGATAAGCACTTTACCGCTGAGCTGTAGTCCTAGCCCTATTTTAATCTTTAATTAAAATAAAATAAAATCTGATTTGAAATATCATTTGAAGATCGACCTCTAATATATCTAAAACTAATTATAGTATAAAAGTAGATAAAGATTTTATTAAGAACTTGTTTATAGCATTATGCTTGAAATTGTTCTTGGCTATGAATTCAAAGTCTTGTAAAGTGACTTATTTTAGTAAGACGAACAGAGAGCTCTGGGTATTTTCAGAAGTCCATTGATTTGTTTTATTTGTGCTTTAATGCAATGTTCTGCTGCATATTTTCTGGTAACATAAGTAAGGAGTGTTGGTGTTCTGTAAATATTAAGTAAGTAAACAACATATTAGAATACATATTAAGATAAAAAGGTAGACTTGAATAAATATTTCCTGTTTTTCCTTAATTAACCTCTGGTCAGAGAGACTGCAACAATGTGGCAGGTAAAAACAAACTGTCAGCTGCCTGACAGCACCACAGAAGCTGAGCATTAAGGACAGTGGATTGTGACAAGCAGCATTTCCAAGTGGGGAAAGGGGCAAACTAAGCCATAGGAACTTTAAAAGTACACACCTGCAATCCTAGCTACTCACAAGACTAAGGAAAGAGGATTCCGAGTTTGAGGCCAGCCTGGGCAACTTAGTGAGACCCTGTCTCAAAATAAGACTGGAAATGGGCTGGGGATGTAGCTCAGTGGTAGTGTCCCTGGGTTCAATCCCTCATACCACAAAGTAAAATAAAATAATAATAATAATAATAATAATAATAATAATAATAAATAATTTGGAGAAGAAACATCTAGAATGTAAATATAAGCCTTTGTCAAGGAAGGGACAATGAAAGAGGTAAGTAACCCAATAGGAAGGCTGATGATGAAAAACTTGCCAATTATTTTGGAAGTTTTTCTCTCCAGTGAACAAAAATCACCACTTTTCAATGTAATCTTGCCAAGAGCTGCCATCTCTAACTTCCTGTTCTCCATAACACTGGGCTCCCTGGGCTAATTCATGTGAATTTCAAGCCCAGAGGAAAGGAACCACTACTGACTTGATGACAGCTCTAAGCCAGGGCATTTTCTAGCCCTGTACATGTCAGAACTCCTGCAGTCTCTTAGCCAACAGCCTTTACACTGTCAAGTTTGTAAAATCACCAGCAGTGAATGAATCAAAACATGTACATTTTAATTGAAAAGACATATGGCTTAAAAAAAAAAAAAAAAGAAGAAGAAATAAGAGAAAAAACATGTGACTAAAACTCATATTATTTAGTATACACTACACACAAAATCTGAAATAGCTAGGGTTATAAGACAGAAAAAAACAACTTATCCATAAGATTTTTAGCAAGAGGGATAAAAGATGGAAAATGTCAATAATATGAACAAGTTGTTGTTAAAAGAATAGAAAACAAAACAAAACAAAGCCTAGGCCTTAACTTTGAAAATCCAGGGTAAGTAAAGGGGATGAAGCTGTACTGAAGAAAGTTACAGTGATCACTTAACATACAAAGAGAGAGTGTGAGAGGAGATGAACTCATACGACCCTAGATGTGAGGAGGAAGAGCAAAGTATGGAGGCAGAGCCTAATACAGGCAGGTTTCTACAGTGGCTTCCAGAACCATCATTTCAAGACCCTAATAATACTTTCTATTTTATTTTAAAAAGTGTGACTGAGATATAAATTACATATCATGTAATTTACTCTCATTTAAAGAATACATTTCAATGGTTCTTAATATATTCACAGATAAAGTCCAACCCCTACCACAATCAATATTAGGTTATTTTCATCACCTCAGGAAGAAACCCTAGAACCCTTAGCTATCACACCTGTGAGAAATAGAAAGTTCAGTGGTCCATTTTCAGAATACAGTATTTAACCTCAATCGGGAAGTAAGATCCAATTGTAGACATTTTAACTATAGCCCTTCCCTTTGCCCACCCCAATTTTAAAATTGGCTAATGATGTAGATTATAACCCTTAGCTCCTCCATCAGGCAAGGGGGAGTGCTGGATTAGGGATAAAAGCAGGCGCACCACCCATCTAGGGGTGCATGCTAGCCAGGTTCCTTAGTGTGCCTTTCTGGCAGAAGTGAAGTTTGCCTTGTCCACCCACTTTCGAGACGTGTTTGATTTCTTGTAGTACCTCAGTGTTTCTAACACACCCCTGGCCAATCACTAATCTATTTTCTATCCCTATGTATTTGTCTGTTCTGAATATTCCATATAAATGTGGCTCATAATTTGGCCTTTTGCAGCTGGTTTCTTTCACTTAGCATAGTGTTTTTAATGTGGTAACATCTATCTTACAACATATATCAATACTTCATTCCTTTTACTGCCAAATGATAATCTATCACATATAGTTTATATACCACATTCACTTTACCAGTTTTGTGTGTGTGCGTGATACTAAGGATCAAACTTATAGCCTCCTCATGCATGCTAGACAAGTGCTCTAACAATAAGACACATCCCAATCCCTTTTTAAATTTTGAGACAGAGTCTCGCTAAGTTGGCCCAGGCTGGCCTCAAACATGGAATCCTTCTACCTGAGCCTTCCAAGTAATCGGGATTTACAAGCGTGTGCCACTATACCCAGCTTTGTTGAACTATTTGTTCTATTTTTATTTTTATTTATTTATTTATTTATTTATTTTGTATTACTAAAGATCAAACCCAGGACCTTCCACGTGGCTAGAAAGTACTCCCCAATCCTTACCTATTCCTTAGTTGATGAATCTTAGGGTTGTTTTCAGCTTTTGACTATTATAAATAGTGCTATTATGAACATTCATATATAAGTTTTTGCTTAAATACTTGTTTTCAATCCTTTGGGCTTCATATGTAGGAGTGGAATTGCTGGGTGATTACATACATTTCTTTACATTAAATGAACATAGTCCCTAAGCAAAGTCTGTCTACCAGCACAGAAAGAATCTCTGCTGAGTGCCTAAGAACTCAGTGAACCTGTATCCATATAATGATGGAGGACCTCAACCAATGGGAGGCCGCCACAGACCGGCGTGCTAAGGCACAACGAACATAAGCAAGAAAAGGAACAAGAAAGATCATGCCACAGTATAACATAAGCATCAACACAGAAGACAGACGGATTTATTCTGAACCAAATAAACTTCAGTGGGCAAGTAGCTGACACTACAAACAACATCAACAACAAAAGAAACATTATTATCTGGGTTACAAAAAAAGTGACACACATTCATATTATTTTTAGAGCAAAATGATTCACTATGTACTTATTTATTTGTGCTTTGCCTTATTAAAGAACAGCCAAGAGAGATAAATAGATAAAAAGAAAGTCAGAGGAAAGACAAGAGAGCACCGGCAAATCAATTTTTTAAAAAAACTAAAATTTATATCCTCAGAGCAATACAAGAAAACTAAAATATAATACTATGAAAAAGAATAATAAAAATAAGAATTCTTAAATATATATAACAAGATAATAAAAATAAAAATTCAATAGAAGGGCTAGGAATTTAAAGTCATAAAAATCTCATAGAATAAAAGTTAAAAGATTAAAAAACAGGAGGAAAAAAAAGATATGAAAAATCAACGATGACTTCAAGAAGCTCCACATCCTCTGGATATGGCAACCAGAAAGAGAAAAAAGAAACAGTGGGAAGGAAAGCATCAAGGAAATAATGGATAGTCCAGAGTTTAGCCCAAGAGGTAAAGAAAAGTGC